ATCCTCTAGCATTCAAATGTTCCTGTCATTTGTTCTTCTATTTCCTCCTAGCTGTCTCTTTGTTTGGAGACCTTATTTGCTTCACGACAAACTGCGGATGGAGCTTCATCAAACCAAGATGGATGTTGTTGCAAAACATCAAATTGCTGTGAGAATATATGATTCTTTGAGCATCTTGCAGTGTTTATCCTTTACGCAGTGAACTCGGAGTTCTCTTGCACGCTCACAGCAGGGAAACTTCTGAGAGAGGCTATTTATCACATACATGCAATACAGAAATAACTACAAGATGCTATTTGTAGCATTTTCACTCATTTTGAGACATTCGTACAGGACACTTACTAATATCAGTTACTAATTAATACCAGAATGTGGCCCTACAGCAACACCAGTTTCTGATAAAGAGTTCTGGACAACAATGACCAATGTGGAACAAAGAGTCGTCTGTGTGTCTTGCATGTTAATAATTACTGATATGTACTGATTGTCAGTGTTTTTAAATTAAGCTCTTTTATGAAAGATATTAAAACAAAATAAACTTCATGCAGATGAAGTTTTTCCGCATGGGTTGTTTAACTTCTTCTGTGACGTTTCTTTGCCCTGAGCTTGCATTGCCTAAAGTTGTTGAGCTGGAACTACGGGTCTAAAAATGTGATGGTTCTCCACAGGTCAGTGACAACGACCTCTGCCACATAGGTTTTTACAGCCTGTGCTGCATGCAGGAAATCTGCCATATAGCTGTATATGTGGAAAAAGAGCAAAACAGGGTGTCCACATTTTCAAAGTAAATTATGTTTTCTGACAACGACAGAGAGGTAGATGAGTGAAAAATAGCTAGAAAAACAACTTCCCCAACAGTTTCCAAAAGAGAGAATATTTAAGCCGTGAAACAGCATCCCCTTCTGAACAAGAAGCAACAGTGTTTTTTGGGAAGATTTGTAGACACAATAGCATAACAACAGCTGTTTATGGATCTTTTGGGGAAGTCCAAGTAAGTCACACGTCTTCAAAAAGCCAGCTGCAAGTCTTGCTGACCATTAACCACATTTGGTCTAATACAGGACTGAGATCAAGAATGAATGAATAACATTGTCAGACTTGTGATTCTTGTTTAGTCACGAAACCTGGTACCTACATTATCCACAAAGCAACAAGACTGCAACAGTTTGTTCCAAGATTTGGGTGTATTAGTAGTGGCTAATGTAACATTGAGTTTCTAGCCTTAAGCAGAGATGAAGAGTATAGAGGTCTGGTAAATACCCACTGTACACTATCTGCTCAGCACCAAAGGGCAGACCAGTATATGGGGCAGGCTGACAAAGTTAGACACTAGCTAGGTTGCTAACCTTGAGCTAGATGTTTCCCTCAGAAGTTGGTGAAGACCAAAACAGAGCTAAAAGGAGAGTGAACACAGACGGCCAGAAACACACATTAATGATAATGTTATTGTTTCTCTGCTGTACTGCTTACACTGTTTGCCCAAAAAACATTTAGTTTAAACCTGACTTCAGTCCAAGTCTTAAAGGTCCAGTGTGTAGGATTAAGTGTGTCTGTAGATAATTCAAGCTCATTCTAAGGTAACACAAACATAACACTAATGCAGTAATACACAACATACAATACACAAATGAAAACATAGTTATGGTATGAATGTTATATTGCTAAATGTTACAAACTGATCTCAACAAATCTCAAGTCCACAATGCTTGCTCTAGCAGTAGCAACCAACCATCAGCTACTTCTTTTATTTCAGCAGTTACTAGTCTGACAAAAATGCGTGTTTATAAATGCACATGTGGAGCTTAAACTTGCCGGCCATGACGTTCAGTTTGCATTGGTCAGTGTTGACAGTTTAACAGCAGCAGATCCACAGTGACTAAGCCGATTATCTGTTGCGTGACACTTTACAAACTCATTTTTTGTGTGTGTACAAGTAGGTATCCAGATGGTTGGGAGAGCTCGCTGCTCTACTGCAGTGTGTGTGTGTGTGTGTGTCATGTGCCAAGCTGCTCCAGAGTTCAATTGGCCAACTAGAGAATTGAAACCATGCAGCTCTGCAGCCAATCCTCAACCCGTGGCATTTCAACACACACACACATGAAAAGAGGAGAGAGCTCTGAATGAGATGCTCTGCTGGCTTCTAACACAAAACATAATAATCACCGTGGTTAATTGGTCCCATTGGTGGTACTGAATGACCCGTGGCTGACAGGCCACAGATGAGCTTCAAACATGGATGATTCTGGCTTCAATTTAGGGTTAATTGTGTTTCTGCGTGTGTGTGGATGCATGTGTGACTGTGAGTGTGTTGGAATGTGCACGAACCGAGCTGATTAAGAAACTTAACGCTCTAATCAGAGGCCGGTGGCTCTGTGATCAAAGACGCTGGTCATTAAATCCTCATTTTTACAAACTGCAGCATCCAAGGTCAAAATAACTTGAGGAGAGAATGATGTGGCTTCAAAGCCATTCAGGGATGTAATGGTAATCTTCAAAAGAGCATTATTCACTCTGATTACGGTTGAGATAGTGATGTAATGCAAAACAATCTGGCTGCACTGAAATGCTGTGATAAGAGTATCTACAGTAGTAATCACTGCAAGGAATGTCCTTCAGGGTTTTTGGTGCTGGAAAGTGTTTATCTAAATAGTTCTACTTCACTGGTGGACCATGATGTCAACATGACTTCACTCATTTGGTGACTGTGTACTTTTGTAGGGCTGTAACAAGTTGGGGTTAATTGTATAAGGACACTCATCAACAATTGATAAATATTATATTACGGTTTTATTGAATACTTAGAATACCTTTTGTGTTATCTTAACACTTTTTGGTATATAACACCAACTGAGGTTCTGTGGATGTGCACATGACTAACTTATAATAACATTTGTGTTACCAGGTTGGTCTGTATCCTCCTCCAGTTTAAAAGTCATGGCCCTTTATTAATGACTTATTTACTTTCTGACATCAATTAGTTATACCTGTTAGTTAGTCATTAAGTATTTAATATTAATATTTTTTTATTTTTTTATTCTGATGAATCCATTAAATGTGTATTTGCGAATGTTAGTGTCATAACTTGTCTTTGAAGGAGCCAAATATTTTTCTCACAACCAGATATGCCAAATGTATGGAAGCCCTGGAAAGCAGGGGCTTTTAGGCGTTTGTTGTTAGAAAACATGGATGCTTTTAGTTCTGTTTAGGACAGGGGTTAGTGGTGCACGCAACCTCTTGTGGTCAAAATGAGTATTACAACAACACTTAGAAAAATGATCACAAGAAAAATTATTTCACTTGCCTTTCAGTACTTCTGTACAAAGGGGTCCTTGTAAGTAACTCATCACTGATTCTTTAAGGATTAATGAATGATTTGTTATGAAGTATGCCTTATAGGTTGTACTAAGCCTTTACAGAACAGCAAGAGAAGCAACACCTAAAAGTTGATGAAATCCACATTGTGTCGCATAATCACATAACAACAGCTGTTTATGGATCTTCCAAGTAAGTCACACATCTTCAAAAGCCAGCTGCAAGTCTTGATGACCATTAACCACATTTGGTTTAATATGGGACTGAGATCAAGTCCTTAGAGCCAGCTAACAGACACATTAAGTGACTATGTTTAAATGGGGTCTCTGTTGCTGTCTTATATATTACACTTCTGGTATTTTACTCGGTCAGAAATTCTGTGTTAGCTTGTTGGAGCTCTGAGTCAGTGTGTATATAATGGGTTTATGGCTATATCTTTTTCTACACTTTCCCAAACAATTCAGTCTGACATATTTGAGTTGGTAATGACCCACTGGAAAGGCATTGTATAAGCTTAGAGAAAGAAAGCATCACTTAAGTCTGCACAGCTGCTGAGTTGTGATTGAGGATGAGGATGAATATAATCCACTACAAGCAATAACACGCACCCATCTTATTTTGCAGTGTGTAACTATGGCTGTGTCTCATTCCGCCTACTTCCGTCAGTACACTGCTTATGTGCACTGACCACTAACTGCCGGAGTTGTTTAATAACTTTACTAGCGTTCACAATAATAGTATACTTGCTCGTCCAATTGGCTGAACTTAGCGTATGCGAAAGTAAGTACTTATTAAACAAGTAAGTACGATAATTTACTTGCCAAATAAATTATGTCTGGCTCAGTCCAGTGAGGAGTATACTGTAAAAGTGATGCAATTACACGACATACAATGTATTAAAATATTGAAAAACCTGACGTCCACTGGTCCCTCACCCTTCCGACTTTTAGTCGAAGAAATAGTCGTCACGTTTAAGTGGCGCTAGTAGTGTTCACATCAATTCCACACTGAATTTTTTGGACCCTATTTCTAGGGAGTTCATTCCAGGGTACTTTCATGGACACTGACTTTTGGTGTTATTCTACCATTATACTTAAAACTAATTGTTTGAAAAATTTAAGTTGTGCAAGTAGGCGGAATGAGACAGCCTATGTCATAGTGAGAGCAAGAGAGGAAATAAAGGTGCTGAAAGTCCACAATGCCAGACAGCCACTGGAGCTGCCCTGTCAGCTGGATGGCACAATGTGTGTGTTGGTGCGAGAATTACACCTGCTGTTAGTCTTACACACACACTAATAGACGAGGTTAGCTTGAGCAAGCTGAGAAGACGGGAAGTTGGTGCCAGATAGGGATTATAGCTTTGACGTGTGTGTGTGTCAGTGTGTGTGTGTGTGTGTAAGAGAGAGTGTGTAGGTGTGTGTTCACAGAAACTATTTTCCTGTCTCGCAGGCCAAGGCCACAGATATTCAAGGTGCTCACTCCACAATGTTCTAACATTTGTTAGCAATTAGCCTCGGCCACAAAACTGACTTTCAACAAAACACATGGACCCTCCCTCTCCCTCCCTTTTCTTTTTTTCACCCTGTCCCTTTTCCAGTCCCTCCCTCGTTTTCCAGTTTCTTTGTTTCTTACCACCCTTCTTCTTTCTCTTCATCCCCTCTCGCTCCATTTCCTCCCTCCCTCTCTGAAGTTGCACATGGTTTCTGTCTGAGGAGGTTTAGTTTCCTCAGGCTCTGGATGGAAGAGGGATGATGCCAGAAAGCTGCAGGCAAACACACATGTTCAAAACTTAATGGGGGCTTCGACTTGCTTCCTTCTGCACTGATAGACTTGCAAGGATATTTTAAATAATCTAAAAATCACTTTTGTAGGTTTGCAGAGTTTAATTTTTGCTTATATGGAATAGCATTTAATGTGGCTGAATCCTGAAGGGCTTGTTGTTCACAATTATTCAAATTTGTGGAAGTAAGACATCTTGGGACTTTCTTTTTTCTTTTGGAAAACTGGAAAATGTTTCATAATGAGTTCGATGGCACCTCGAAGGTAAATTGCTGACTACCTATTGGTGTTCCTGGACACTTGCTTTGTGGGAACAAAGGTGAAGAGGACTGCTACATCACCACCATCAAGCTGAGCATCAGCAAACTAGACAAGTTGTTTATAAAGGACTCTTGAGCAAGGAATCATGAAAGGTAAAGTAATTTGCCTGATTTCTTCTGTTATTAAGTGTTAATTCGCAGCACCATAAATCTCCTGCTAAGTCTTCCTGCTCCCTTGTCATGCAAAAAACTTCAATTCAGTCAACACCTCGGTGCATTTGCTACTTAAAAATGCATGCAGGAACAGTATCTGTCATTGTGGCATGCAGGCAGGCACCTGCACGGGGCACCAACGACCACATATGCTTCTCATCTGCAGTGTTGATCCTGTGAAAGTGCCAGTTTGTTGTTCTTGGATGTGAGACTTTGATCAGTCAGCTCTAAATCTCTATATATGTGTGCGTGCACACCACAGCCTCGTTTCATAAAACATAAAATGTTCTCTAACCCTGCCAATCTGTCATAGATGGACCTAATATCCCCTTTAAAAGAGGGCGAGTGAAAACATAACATTTGAATTTGAGCTTTTTCACAACATGGCATGAAAGGGGAGCTGCCATTGGCTTTGAAGAGGGCAAAGGCTCGTACATGTTTTCCAGATGTACAGTATGAGAGGTGACAGGCTGACAGAGATGGGAAGATGAAGTGGAAAAGAGGGGATTGCAGAGAGGGAATGAGAGGGAGCAGGAAGAAATCTCACCTGTGGGGTATCAGTGTGTACATAATTCATTACCAACAGTAATTGGCATATGATGGATTTATTTCTGTATTTATTATTGTTGTCTAACAATATTCTTTCCTCTTTTCTCTGTGGTGGTACTATTTTAATAAACCATTCGCTAAACCAAACAACAATTACCAAATCACAGCATAGCAACTGTAACTACACTCCAGCAACCCCAGCCAATGTTAGCCTACCTCAGATAGCGTTATGATTGACAAACTATTTGTTTTGTTGTCATCTTAAGCCGTTTCTCTTGTAATGTTAAATGTGAAAATGTATGCTTAGTACGTAAGCAGCCCAACAGTGATTTGTTGGAATGAAATAACAGCCTTGTCTTACATTTTTCCTTATTGTGCTTATTATACCAAGAATAATTAGCTCTACACAACGTTGTTTCTTTATTTAATGTTATCTTTTGGGATGCTGATCTTTTAGCACAATATTATGTAAGTAGCCTTCATATTCATATTAAAGACAAGAATGGAAAGCAAGAAACAGTAAATGTGGCTATCACTCATGCTAAATTAGCAGTTTAACAAAAAACAAATCTCCAAACAAAGTTCTTCTGCTGAAAAAAAATATATATATATATATATATATATGTATATATATTTATATATACCTACCACCTAGTGGTATCATATTTAGGATGTTGCATTTTTATGTAGGCTCTGCAGTGTGGTTTGGAACCAATTTTGTCAAGCAGTAGACAAAAAAAGGCTAGCTCATCATTACAATAATCCACCCTGTTAACAAAAGTGAGCACCAAGCAGAAGTAAGTTTTCTCTTATGTGGGTTCTTGCCTTTTAGTGCTGTCTTTCTGTTTCTGGGGTTTGATGGGAAATTTGGATTTATAAAAAAATAGTACATCAAAGACTGCATGATTGCATTACATCAAATAAGAAAAATCATGGCAAGAAATAAAATCAACCTCCAAGGAAGTCTTTGCTCCCGTTGAGCCTTGAGGAGAGAAGCAGCCATGAACCACAAGACGATACAGAAAATTAACTCCAAGAACATTTACAGTACTCTTCTCAGCCAGACAGTACAGGAGGTCTGTTAATGCGGTTTCCAGTCTTGCTGAGAGCGGGTCCAGCCCTGCCCAACCAGAACAAAACATGCTGCCTCATACATTCCTAACAGGGGGGAGGAGGGAGGGAGCCAGAGGAGGTGAGGAGAGGAGAGGCAGGGGGGACAGGAGACAGGTGTATGGTTGGCGAAGGAGAAGGAAAGAGTGAGCGAAGGGGAGAAGAGAAGGGGAGTTACAGAAAGAGAGATTTACTTGTTTTCAGTCCCATTTTTGCTGCGACAGCGTTATAAGTTTACAGTCAAACCATTTTAAATTTGTATTGAAAGGGAAACAAAGGAGAAATAATAGCTGATTGTCATGTTGACTTACTCTTTCTGTATCCACTGTGAGCTTTTGCATTTATTTTTGCTAGCTTGGATTAATTATCTGATTGTTTCTGCTGGACTTCTTCAGGTTTTTACCCCAATTCTCGCAGCATACACATAGAAATGTTGAATGTGCAGCAACTGGATTCTCAATTAAAAAGGCAGCCGTATTAGAACCTTGGTTAGTAATAGCAGCTGTTTATTTTTAATAGTTTTTCTTCACTTTTTTCAGATTTATTGGAAATACTGTACATGTTATTTTAATAAGGCATGTGGAAACTCCTATCCACATACTTCTCTGTACTTTGGGTTTGGGGTGGATTTTTTAATGGTTTGGGCTTTCCAATTAAGTAAAGTCTTGATGCTTCAGCATACAGTGACTTCAGACAATTTTCTGCTTCTAACTTCGTGGTAACAGTTTTCCTGTTTCAACATAACAATGCCCATGTGCATAAACTCATGTTTGAGTTAGTAGTTATTCAAAAATCCGTCACTAACTGTGTGTGTAAAGTTCTTAGTACTAGCTAGATCAAGTTACCCTATGAAAACATTATGCAAGACTTTAATAATGTGTACATCAGTTGCTAGGAAATCTGTACCGCTGAGCAATCAAAAACTACGGTATGGCACTATGGTAACAGGAAGTTACTGTAGCATCACAAGCTGAACTTCCAATAACAGTTTTACAGACCAACGATTATTATGTGTCCCTTAAAAGTTCCTAAAAGGTGGTTATAATGCGAAATTTGATGTAAGTAAAACAAAAATACGGAAGTCTGTAAATAAAGCATTAGAGAATATCGCACACGCCCTTCGGCCGCAAAGCCCTGTAAACCTAACCAGGCTGGTTTCTGCGTCTCTGCGTGGCAGTCTGAAGCGGTTTAGTCATGAGAAAACATGATGCGTTTATGGGATCGTGACTCTGAAAATCTCCTGTTTCACTGCCGAACCACAATAAAAGAAACATTCTCTTGCAATGGCTCATCTATAACTTCAGTTTCGCAGTCTGAAACAACACATTCCAGGCGTTTATAGTTTTGCGGGGAGACCACACATTCCAGTCAGAGGGCATCTATATGGCTTGGATGTCAACAGAGGTTGGAAAGGGACTCATTTGGCTTTATGAGTTGTGGTCAAGACCCCCACCCTGATCTGTAGCATGGCCCATCTCGTGACTCCTGGTTTCATTTAAGGCTGCGCTTTGCTGAGGTTCTTGAGGGGGATTTTCTGGTCAAAATAAATTAATAAATGAAAGAAACATTGAAAAGCATGAGATGTTACTACCCCATCTTTATGTAGAAATGGCATCTCTATTTGCGTGTTAAATGGCCTCGTTGAAGGGTGTGGAGAGGTTACAGGACGTTCAGGGCATGTTACTCACCGAGGATAACGTTTTGCACAATCCCCTGGTGAAAGTAACGTCCAGAGGGGGAATGAAGGGAAGGAGTGGGTGGGGAAGGGGTTTGGAAAGTCCAAAATCCCCCTAAAGAGGAACCACAGAAGAACCACAAACATGAAGTGGTGCTGATGGTTAGCTGACTCAAGTAGAGGCCTGGCGCTGCAGTCACAAACACCAAAGGTCTGATGGTGAAAGAGGATGGAGGGAGGAGGGCTGAGTGGCTCCATGTGGCTGAAGAGCAACATCCTGATATTTTTATTTTTATTTTTTGTGCTGGATAAAGTCTATTTTCTAGCCCTGCTTCCACGTAATTTTGTAATTGATACCCCCACTCACCTATACATGTATCCTTATGGAACTGATTAGAAACAATCAGAAATGTTTAGAAAAGCTCTGTAAACTAATCCGTAAGATGTCTGTCTCATGTCCTGTGTGTGCTGTTTTAACTTGCTGCTTGTCTGGATATTTTCATAGGTGTGGTGGCTGGCCAGTGTACATCATCTGAACCAGCAGCATACAGTACAGTATACTGACCAGGCCAAAATAGTCACTAAAAACTCCTCCTGAAGGGTTAATAAGATAATGTTGACTTGACAACTTTTTAGATGATTTATTACCTTTGTAGAGACGTTAAGACTCATACGAGAACCTTTTTTCTGTGATTTTGCACATATTAGGGTTGCAAGTCGAATGCACCAACAAACCATCATAAATTGCAAGTTTCAGCCTGATGAATGCCATCTGTTCATGAGGAGGTGTGCATTCCTGAGATTTGATCAGAAAAGCCCCTGAAATTGCCATATAAGGCTACCTGTTCTGCTCTGTGTGCGATAGTCATTCACAAAATTTTTTACTAAAAGTAAAGTAAAAAGAAGAATTTCAGTCCTGCTTTTCAAAATTGGAGCAGACAAAAACATAACAAATTTAGCAGCGAAAGTAGATGTATTAGGAGACCTGAAACAAACAGCAACACAGACATAAAGAGGTAATGGTTTGACATGAAGTTAGCCACTGAGATATGAGATGCATAAAGACCCTGTACAGGCAGATAATGTTTCTAACTACTGAAATGCAGAAGTTACTCTGATAAAAACCGCCAATAAAATCGTCAATTCTAAAAAAACTCTCAGTATATTGACAAGCCATGCTGGTGATAAAATGGTGAACATTGTTTATTTTAGTTAAATATCATTTCAGCTGATTTTGGGATCATATTTAAAAGTAATTTAAAGTCACTCAGTGAAAATGTTGATGCTGTTGGGTGGGCATAAACAACATCCTTCAATCTTTTATACTTCTACTATTAGTGCGCTTTTTATATCAAGTCTGGTGTATGCCTAAATGCTTTACCAGCCATAACAATTAGCTGTTCACACAAGGAAAATGTTAGTATTCAGAGAGACACTATTTGGCCAAAACATGTCTATCTCCAAATATTTGTGTACTTTTGGTCTAGGAATGTTTTCCATGGTTTGAGCTAGGCTCACTAGGCCCGACTAAGTCGGGCCTAAGTCATTCAGTTATATTTTAGAGGATAGCGTGCTTTGTGGCAACAGTTTGGGGAAGGCCGCTGGG